TATTTCATTATTTATAAAATTGTAAATGCATTCATTACACATCTGAGCTGCAATAAGCAGTCTGTGTAAATGCATCTAAATTCTGGTTATAATGATGCTGAGTTGGTTGTCAGTGGTTTTTCATTACCACTTTATGGAAATACTGTTTTATTTAAGATACCATGATCTTGCCATTAAAATAGAAATAAAACTATATGTCATCAAAATTGAGTCCAAATGATTCCCAACACTGGCATTTTTTGGTACAATCTATTTAAATGTATATATTTTTTAATATCTTTAAACTGATTTGATCTTGTAGGGTGCTGGCGGTGAGGCCATGGAGATCAGTGAGCAGGTTGGAATGACTCCAGAGATCATACAGAAGGTGTGTTGAAATACAAGTACCTCGTGGTTGAATGTTCTGCAATGATTTCATTGCATGTGAGATTCTTTTTTTCAAATCTAATGAAATTGATCTTTTGTTTTACAGCTCCAAGACAAGGCCACCGTCTTAACCACAGAGAGAAAGAAGGTGAGGATTTAATTGTGCTTTTATTTAGTCACTGTGTGGAGCATTGTGTACCTTCATAAATGTACTTAGCCTTTTATGTGGCTTTGTTTTTCAGAGAGGAAAGACTGTGCCGGAGGAGCTGGTCAGAGCAGAAGATCTCGGCAAGTACCGCCAAGTGGCGTCGCATGCTGTAAGTAGCCAATAAGTTTTCCATTATGCACTCAAGGGATTCTAATTTACAGAAATTCCCATGATCAATCATCCTTTAAATTAACAATCAATTAATCGATTATCCTTAATCTCTTAAACCTGAGCTTTTTAGTGATAAGGGGAGTGCTCTTTGCATAATTTCTGGGCTATAATCCGTTCAGAATTTGAATACATTTATACACTCTCTGATAACCATTTATCCAATATTGCCACTTTCCATTGTGTTGCATTTACTACTTGAGAAATATATCTGTAGGCGCATGTGGTTGCATGTGTCGACACGCCCCTGTGAGCTAACAGATATGTATAGTAGGGATGGAACGATTACCGGTTTCACGATAAAATGCCCTGAC